TAGAAGGCTCTGATACCATGTCAAGAACCAGTTGATCCCAATAACTCGAGTTGTTGGGAGAGGTTCAATCGTGAATCATATGCCGTTTACTAACACTTCCGACATACCACACCTACCTCGATCTGCACTTCATCGGCTACAGCTGCACTCAATTTCAAAACTAGAGTGAGGCAATCCTAGCTGATGTTCAGCAGCCAGTTGGATACCCAATCTCTAAAGTCACTCCCACCTCTAATTCTCTTAGCCGCTGCGAGGAGGAAACGGCCACCATCATCCCTAATCACTTATGGAAACCTACGGTTTCCATTATTATTATTATTATTATTATTATTATTATTGTTATGATTATGGTTATTATTATTATTATTAAGGATAGTAGTCTTTGAGTCGTATTAGGATAGTTTATTAGGTTTTTCTAGTCTTTCGCTATAAATATGTAATTGGTCCTTCATTCATAGGCAGTCAAGAAGAATATTAAGAAACAATCTCCTAAACTCTATTCTCCCAATCCTCTCAAATCTTGTTCCCTATCCCTCTAAAGGCTTAGGCCGATTCTCTATCCTTCTCTCCTCAAATCCCTAATTCTGTTCTTAATCCCTAAAATCCCCAATTCTCGATAGAACCCTAATCTCAGGTTCTATCATTTGGTATCAGAGCCATGGTCACATATTTGAGTTCATCACAACTCTCACCAGGGAATTGTTATCAGAAACACTATGACACGTTTGAAGCTCTCCAAATCAGTCTAGTAAAATATGAAGCTAGTCTAGTAAAAGATGAAGTTCGCAGGGAAGCTCGCGACAACTATATGATAGCATGCTTGGAAGAACTTCGAGCCAAACTCGAGCGTCGTGCGACTCGCCGTCGCGCGACCAGCAACCATCCAGAGTCGACGACAGAGGATTCATCAACACCAGCCACCGTCGAAACGCTCATACTGACGCGGAGTTTGCGCCTACCGCAGTGAAAATCAGTTCAATCGACGCAGCTCCACAACTGGCTTCCACCACTGACGTCCCAAGCATCTTCACAACCATCATTGAGGTTCAACTGCTACTAACGTCGACAGCAGCGGCGACAATTCCGATCACCAAACCATCAACTCCACTCGGCGCGGCCGATATTGAAGTTCCAGCTGCTGCGGAGGCGAGATTTACGGCCACTCCAACCGTCGTGCCCAGGTACGATGTGCTGGAGAAGAAGTTGAAGGAGATGGGAAAGAGGCGGGTCACCGAGGAGAAGAAATCGAGGGTGAACCCTGCGATTCTCCTCGTAGCGGCGCCGTAGGGGAATCCGTTCGTGGCAGCAGCAGACTGGGAGATGGTGGAAGAACCGCCGCCGAGGCCGAGTCTAGAAGAGCGACGGCAAACCTGCCGTCTGGTGAGGTGCGCGCTCTCGGAAGAAGAAGAGACGGGGGGTGACGACGTCTTTCATTTTCGCACTGTTCGAGGATCCAACAGGAAAATCCGGTAGCGGCGATCGCGGGTCGAGGACGCCGCTGGCGGCGCGATCGAGGCGGGTGCGCAACAGGGGGAGCACCGCGGGCAGCGGCAACGGAGGGGCGGCGCTTCTCGCCGCGCAGGGCGGAGGAGGACACAACGGCGGCGTGGTCATTGTTAGCTCGTGCCGCGATGAGAAAGTCAAGGATGTACAAATTTGGGTCGCCGTCTACCCATCTGTGGAGCTATTCGCCGCTGAAGGAAGAGGAGGGAATGGCAGACCGAGTTGCGACAGGGGGAGAGCTCAGAGAGAAGGATCCAAGGTCGAGGGTGACCCGGGTCGAGTTTTTCTCCCCGTTGCCTGAGGAGACTATAGGCGCCGTCGGGAAAGGAGTCGGAGGGGGAGCTGGGGGTGACGACGAAGAGGATGAAAGGCGGCGGCATCCCTTCTCGTCAAGCGAACCCTAGCGGAGCAGATCAAACCCAAGCCTTCTTGGGCGAAATGTGGCAGGCCAAGGGGTTGTTGGGCCACAGTTGGAAAGGCATCAAACCGGGAGGAGGCTATGGTACGGGCCAAACCAGAAAGAGAATGACGGGCCAAGATGGGTTGCTTTGCTAGTTGGGCCGAGTCAACTGCACCAGGGGGAGGAAGTGGGCCGCGCAGGCCTGGAACACGGGCCTCTTTCCTCTGCAACCCTAGGCAGCCAAAGGGTGGGATGGGTTGGGCACCCATCGGGCCGAAAGTTTCAAGACAAGTGGGCCGTGAGGCCAATGAAGGTGGACCGGACAAGCCCGTACCCATGGTTGGACTTCGCTGGGTCGGAGATTGGGCCAAAGACAAATCAAGTGAGCGGCCCACGTCTTGAAATTAATTAGTTGAAATAAAGGATTGGTGACGGGCCTTGCAAGCCCAACGGATTTCATGTGCCGCGTTTGTGCTGCCTTTTGAAGTGGGTAAGCTTGAAAGAAAAACAAGAAGAAGACATGGTGAGCTTAATAAGTGGGCTTTTAAATAAGTCAGGCCCATTCACGTTGGCAGGCAAGTGGAGTAGGGAGAAACTTGACTTTGGTTTGCGCCGCTACCCTATCTTCCAAGCATTTGTGGCCCAAGTCAAAGAGGAAGGAAAAGAAGGTGGGGAAAAGTTATGGGTTGTTTTCACCACCAATCCCACCGAGAAATTTATGGAATATAGTCTTGAAGTCCTCGAGTTGGAGCACAAGGAAGAACAATTCTCCGATTTTTATTTCGTGGACTTCGCAAGAGAGAAAGAAGAATTGTTCGGCTATGAAGAACGTGACATGTGTCACATTGTTCGAAAAGGTTCAAGGAAGGTTGGAGTTGTGCGAGATGAGTTCGTTCAAGGGGTCAAGCGCGATTGGAGGAGACGGAAACACAAAGCGCAGTGGATCCGACAATCAAATCTCGCGGAAGAGTCGGTCAAGTCGCTTAACCTTGAGGGCAAGGTTGGTCTCAAGAGGGAAGAGATTATGGAAACCTACGGTTTCCATTATTATTATTATTATTATTGTTATTATTATTGTTATGGTTATGGTTATTATTATTATTAAGGATAGTAGTCTTTGAGTCGTATTAGGATAGTTTATTAGGTTTTTCTAGTCTTTCGCTATAAATATGTAATTGGTCTCCCATTCATATGCAGTCAAGAAGAATATTAAGAAACAATCTCCTAAATCCTATTCTCCCAATCCTCTCAATTCTTGTTCCCAATCCCTCTAAAGGCTTAGACCGATTCTCTATCCTTTTGTCCTCAAATTCCTAATTCTCTAAAATCTCCAATTCCCGATAAAACCCTAATCTCGGGTCCTATCAATCACCCAGTCCCATTCCGTCTGCATCCAGTCCAACGTCCGTGTTAACCTTTATACGACCCGCCTCAGGCCGTTTCCATCGCTGTTTTGTTTAAAAGTGCACATTCCAAACTAATCGAGTTGAATTTCACCAAACACACAATAATTAGGTCTCCAACGAACTAATGTACAATTTGTTCCCGTCCTGTAGCACTTGACCCTTGAGCAGGAAACCTGGTCGAGCTATATTGGTCACATAGCATAGGGGAGGCTCCATTCCAGTTCATAGCCATCATTATGACCCATTATACCCTTTCACCCCCCAAAATTTGTAGGGCAATCTTACATGCATCTATAGCCTTTTCGTTTTGGCTTCTCTTGCAAGTTGCAATTACACATTTCACTATTCTAGCTAGCCACCTAGTAATGCAACCTCTAGTCATTAAACACTTTTTGAGCGGTAAAGAACTAGTTGGTCGCAATAACTCGACGGATTGGAACTTGGAAGAGGTTTAATTATGAACCTTATATAAACCTCCTCAAACGATATGAAGTTTGCATAAGTCCGAATATCACGTGCTTTACAAATAGTGGCCATCATGATTCGAACACTTGACCTTTGGATTATGAAAGACTCGGATACCATGTCAAAAATCAATTGATTCCTAATTCCTATAACTCAAGTTGTTGAGAGATACTCAATTATGAATCTTTTAAATTTTACTGACACGAGCTAAGTCAACAATGTCATATAAAGAAGGATTACACTATTATTAAGAAATAGTGTATGATTTGAACAAACAACATCCAACTATATATACACATGACTAGTATATATATTATCGAAATTGGTAGATATCATGCTGGGAACGTGATGGGTTGGTTGATGATGAATCCATATACCATTATCGAAAGAGAAGATAATAAGATAAGACATGTATATGAGACAACTCACAACTTAGGAATAGTGCAAAATTGGACCCATTACTAATCTTGGAAGAATATATTGGCATCATTATATATACTCAGTGTTCCATGTGTGGGAGAGTACCCTGTACATTTTGTCAAAGAATATTTGATTTGATCAAGGTGAGGCGCGGGTGCAAAATTCATTTTAGAGCACTTGAGGATTATGGAGAAATAAAGAGTTTGAGGGGGAAGAAAGACTTTGATTCATTGGTTGACTATTTGCACATAGGTAATAATATGTGTAGTTCGGTGTAGGTAAATATTCGATTTATATCGAATAAAATGGATCAGAATGGACATTATTCAAATTGGTTCAGATTTTGTGAACTTTCTTAAAATGAAGAAAAGGGAAAAATCAACCGCATAAGAGAAGGGGGTGAAACTGTACACTTTCGTGTTCAGAGCGTTGGTTGAGTGAGTAGGCAGTGCCTTCCAAGTTTTGCTTTCTTGAAGAGGCTGGAATCAAATCGAATTATGCATGGACAGTTCAGAAGATTCCAAAAACAGTCTTAGGTTGAGTGTCGGAACTTGTTCTGGCTCCCCAAAAATTTGTGCTGAACCGCCAGTAGGTTTTTTTCCTAGTTTAGCTCCCTAATTTTTATCCATCGATAATCCTCATTTTTTCATAGATTTGTTGAGCTTTCAATCTCAATTCAACTCGATTATGAAGCAGATCAAATTATGTCCACCCATGATGTCTTATGTCTATATATCTTGAGGAATTTATGAGAATACATAGGGGAGGTAGTAGTAAAAGAGGAAATAATAAGGGGAATCACTTCTTGGGACATTTTAGTCGTTTTTTGTAGTGACCATCCATCAGTACTCATCCTAGTCAATAATAATATTCCCTTTGTTTTGCCATCTTAATGTTATGTTGCCCTATTCAACAATGGCATGATTGTGGTTATGGGATAGTGCCTACACCAATATCATACACTTGCTGCTACCATTTCTCAGTATACTAATACGTATTTTGATCATCCCCTCCACCTACGGTTGTGGCTCTTATTGATGATGACAAATATGACTTGAGGATTGAGGTATAGAGGCAATTGGTTGCCAACTACTCTATTGCAACGGAATTCACGACACTCATGGCGCACTTCAACAATCTCCATCTATCGCTCCAATGCTTCCCCTTACTCTTTGTACAATACTACCATGGTGACCACACCAAAGCAAATAAAAAGTTCGTGTCAGCTTTTTATATTCAAGAATATATTAAACGATAAATATGGTTTTGAAGCGAAAATGAAATGTTATTTCAAGAAGTTAGTCGCCACTTCAGAAAGAGAGAGGGCAGTGACTGACACTGTCGAATACTCTGCGCTACTAACGCAAAGACATATCGAGTGAGATATCGAGAGGGTTGGGGAGACTAATGGTTGTGGATGACTTTTGCATGTGAAAAATGACACCCCTCTTTTGCACTATAAGGAAGCAAGTAAAATCCCAGCTAGATTAAGACGATGATGAAGCAAGGAAGAAGTGAGCACCCAAAAAAACAGGCCCTCAATGAATCATTTGACTCTTCTTCTTCGATTGTTGTGTTCAAACCAATTATTATTACCACTATACATCCCAACAAAGTCTTCTAAAGAGAGTGGGATTGATAATGAATCGAGGAAGAAAACAAAACAAGGGTTTAGCTCCAATTGGGGATGCCTAATCTCCCCACCCTTTCTTCTTAATGGTCCACAAAAAGCACAAAGAATGCTCTTCCGTATGAAAATGAGATGTCCATCTCTATCTCACAACACAAACAAAAAGAATACCTAAGCTATTTTAGTAGAACAAGTTTAAGCTATAAACAATTTACAAGTGAATCATAATACTCAAACACATCCTTATTGTTCTAATTGAATATAGACAAAGCATTTATTTATATTTTAGTAATAGTAAACATATCGGCATATCTCCATCTCTCACACTTGCATAGAGTCAGTAATCATGCAAAACCGAGGATAGTCTCTCTCCTACGATCATTATATCTTATTTATTGACTATCATAATTCATAACTTAGATACCAAACCACATCTTCGAATTTAGTTTGACTGTGAACAAAGATTAGGGCACGTTTTTTGTGTCTTGTTTTTTTACAAAATAAAAAGTAAACATATGGTCACATTCATACTGTTCTAGGTCTTCACCGTTAAGCACCTAATTGTGAACAGAGTTGGGGAGTAGTTCACCATTGACAGCGTCTAATACAGTTAAAAAGTGGGTCCTTCTAACTTCTGACAAGGTGCAGCCAATCCATAATAAGCAAGCAACCATGGAATTTTGCTGTCGCCAGTCATTTTCCTACCCAGCCAGCTGCTGCATTCTCAGACTCACTTGTGTTCATTATTACTGTTCAGAACACATCACGACTCGTGCTCTGACTTTCTCCCTATCGCAGCATATTTGCCTACCCAGTGAACTAATACTAATAAACAAACATCCATCTCCTAATTAGTCTCCTAATCACAGCATGTAAAGTAACAGTCCTCCTTAATCAAATTCAAGACCTATGTAAAGGGAAGAATCGATCAGAAAAAAAAACTTACCCGTCTGGTGGCAGCAAGAGAACTGGATGCTGCTGATTGTATTGCACCAAAAGCAAACCATGTAATGTGAAAGCCATTATTGCAGTTGTGGACAATCCATGGAGGGGTTTTGGCCTTTGTTGATGGCTCGAATGAATCACCATCATATATAAAAAAAAAACTTTCATCATCATTCCAGGACTTTTTGCTCTTCTTCAGTTCCTTGAATGAATCAAATTCTTCATAAGAGAGTTTCTTTCCTTCTTTCTCTCTGGCATCATGAGTCCCCAACTGCAATCATTACCATGGACAAACAACCAAAGAGCTCTCACCCTCCCTCCCTCTCCTTCTCTCTATCTAATGCACACCCCATCACCCCACTACTATATAGCTAATCAACACACTCATATCCCATTCTTCATTCATCCCAATATTTATCTCCACTCTGCATATCCCTTACCTCAAACCCAACTTCCCCCCATTTCCCTTACGCTTGTAGAGAAGAATCATGTGTATCCTAAGAGAAGAGAGGTCCCCTTCTCCTCCTATACAGGTTTCAAGAAGAAGGCAACAACCCAAGAAACCTAAACTTCAAGTCATTGGACTCACCAGGTAATGTAAAGACTAAAAGAGAGTAAATTTGATTCCTTTTCCGTGTTAGTTGGTTAGCTTTATTGTTACTGAAGTTCTTTTTTTTTTTTTTTCTCTTGGGACAGAAACAGAAGAAGGTGTGGTGAAGGATACAAGGACATGGAGTTGAAGAACTTGAAACTATATTTGCAGAATCGAACCATCTTCGAAGAGAATGAGAAGCTGAGGCAGAAAGCTTACCTTCTCCACAGGGAGAATCTAGCTTTAACAAGGGAGCTCCAAACCAAGTTACTTCATTTGGATCACTTCTCCACAACTCTTATACGCAAACAATAGTTACTGCAAAGAAACATGAACTGCCTTTTCTACCAACCCCTTTTTGCTAGCTCTCTGTATTAATAATCATCAAGAGTATTAGTTTTGATGATTTTATACATGGCATTCATGTTCATGCCTGGTCTGCTAGTCATGCTAGAAATGTAATGAAGTGCATGCAAGTCATAAGTTTGACTTGTTCGTGTCGCTGGTATACAAGAAGGCTACGCCAACTCAGTCATCTAATGTCTCGTGTATGTTTTTATCAGTTTTATCTGAAGAAAGAGGTGATCTTCTTTTCATCCTATCTACTAGTTAGCACCTAATGTTCAAAATTCCATAAACTATTTATTCAATGTAGTGCAATAATCATGCCTGCCCTGCATAACTACAACAAGACACATGTATTTCTCAACCACGAACACAAGCAGCATACAAAGGCTTATTAACAGTGGCTGTCAGGAGAGCTTAACTTGACATTATCTCGCCTAGGACAAGCCAAGCATCATAGCCAGGAGATAGATAAACAAGGATTAACTAACCCTCGAAGTAAAAGTCAAACTTCCATATTTCTGAAATGTCAAATGGTACGTTAATTGCATGTTGAAACAAAAAGCCGTATAAACAGCTCAAATTTTAAATGAAGTCAACAGTAAGCACAAAATGTCAGCCATTGCTGCCATAGCTTCCTCACTTTACTTATTAATCAAATATATTTACAACAAAAGGAGAAGATGAACATTTGAACAATTTAGAGTATTTGCCTCAGCGGGCGTGATTGACAAACTCACCAGCTTTGATGACCATTTGCTACAACAACGAATAATTCAACATTCTCATCCCCGACAGAAGCATTCCCTTCCATCCATTTCACAGCTCAGCATATCTATCACAAATCCTGAACAAAGCAGAAACAGATATCATTGTTCATATGGAGTATACAAAGAGGCCTTTGACTTAGCAGATCAGCAGCAAACTAGGCACCACCACCTTCAAGTTGGAGGAAGCAGTTCGAAATGCTGCTGTGAACACAAAAGGCTTTACAAATATGGAACCTTGTGTGCTCAAAGATCCTTAGCACGTTCCTCTGATTCTCTGAATATTCGGAATGCAGCAATGGCCATTGTGGCGTTACCGATTACAGTCAAAGCAGCTTGAAGAGCCACCAGTACCTATAAATAGTTGAAAGAGACAACATCTTTAGCAACCAAAACCTCTAGAAGCCAGTTTCAGCCGTTTCCTTTCTAATTGTTTCTTTGTTTACCTCTAAAGACTCTGCATTGTAGAAGAAATGCCATGTGCATGCACAAAGAGCTCCACCAAGCAAAGGTACCTGATTCCCAGTTTCACTATGAGCTAGGGTACACCCCAAATACTTTGCGCTGCTACAGCTTAAAAGAAGACAACTTCAGATGAAAATAAGGGCACATGAGTAACTCACCATACCCCAAGAGAGCCCCTTCCAGGTTTCAAACCCAGATTTCTCCCCGTACTGCCACACCAATGCCATTGCTGTAACCCTGTTCAAAAATCGAAGAAAGAAATTTACCCATTAGAACTGAAGCTCGAAGAGAACAGGAAGCAGAAAGAAAAGTAAAGAAAGGAAAATCGAACCCACCACTCCGCAACGCTCGACACGTGGACAGCCCAGGTGGGCAAAGAGAGCGCGTTAGCGGGCTCGCTGAGCTCACCCACTAGAGGTAGGTTCACTGCGGAGGCGGGTCCGATGAAGGTCAGAACTAGTCCAGCCCCAACGAGACCGGCGACGCCGAAATTCACCGGGTTTTTGGCGGCCGCGATGGGTGGAGTTCGAAGACAGACCAGCTTACGAGGAGAGGGAGAATTGGGAAAGGTAGGTTGGGGTTTACGAGATGGAACGGGGAGTGAAGTGAATAGTGATAAGGTTGATGCAGTGGAAGCCATGGAATTTTTCAGGCCTGTGTTCTGTGCAGGGCGCGGGCTGTTTGGAGAGCAGTCTGATTTTGATAAATGGAAGAAAACTAGAAATGTCGCAATAATAGATCCCGCCAAATGAAGGGGAACCCAAACCAAGAAATTGCTCGGACTCTTTCCCACTAAGTTATCCTGTACAGTTTTTCTTTTTACGCGTTACTGGATCACAATTGAATGAATCGAGCTGCATTAGAGAAATGAGATCCATATCTACACAAGCAAGCAGCATAAGTGGATAACAAGGCTATATTATTACCATAACTGGCTGATCAGGTACAGAAGGATCACACCTCCATCCGATATCAGGATCCTACAGCAGCTTCACATTCATTGTGTACAAACAGTACATTGGTGGACAAATGTGGAGGAAACAAAACATACATTTTTGCAGGAGCTTCATTACATCTCGGTTATACTGTGAACGCATTCATTATCCAGGTGAAGAAACCTCTGCCCAAAAAATGGAGCAATGCGAGAGTCGTAATTGCTTCCACTTGTGTTGATACTCGCTACGCTTCTTTCTTCTTAGCCCAAATCATCACCAATGAGAAACCCATCAGGGACATTATTACAGTCTGCAAAAACGTCATGAATCAGAGTTCTCAATATGGCTTTAACCAAGAATGTCAGCTAATAGGTAGAGCAAGAAACTGCAGCATTTGGCATTATAAAAAAAAAGTGCAGCATTTGGCAGCTCACAGATATTGCAGGAGGCACAGCAACCAATGGATCTTGGAAGAACTTGTTGGCAAGTGCAAGACCCAGAAGACTACTCTGCATTCCGGTCTCATATGATATTGTTCTTTGGAGAGCCTTCAAATCTGGTGCATCATGGAACGCTAAACCTGTAACGAAATACCCAATAACAAATGCTGACAGATGAAACGCAACGATGAGTGACAAGATTGTCACCCCGAAAGGGGACATAACTGACTCCACATTGATCGCCAGTGGTGCTCCGACACAGCATGCCGTCACGAGCACAGATAGAGGAGGCAGAAATGGCCGAATAGCACTGGATATCCGTGGAAAGAACCTGTAAAGGCATTGGAAAAACAAGTGAGTTGCTAAGGAAAATCTAAGAACCAAAAGATAGCACAGTAAATGTTGTACTGTATTAATTCCCACCTATTGAGAAACAAGCCTGCAGCAATTGGAGCAACTACAATCTGGGTAATGCTGGACACCATTCCTTTCACATCAACGGGAAGCCTCTTGCCAATGAGCAAGAGAGAGAGCAAAGGCGTGACAACCACTGCTGTAGCAGTGGACAACGAGGTCATAACGATGCTTAGAGGAGCCAACTGTGGATCGGTGAGGAAGGTAGCATAGTTTGAAAGTTGGGCCCCACTGACACAAGATACCAGCATAATCCCAGCACCAATGGGAGTAGGAAGGCCAAACATAGAAACCGAGAGCATGCCAAATAAGTATCCAAGAATAGGCTTCACTGCAAATTGGCCAATGTAACCAGCCAAAATGGCTGCTGGTCTGCTGAATGCTTCAACAAAGTCCTTCTCGTTCGAGTTAAGCCCAACTGCAAACATTAAAAACCCTAAAGCAGGAGCATAGTACCTGAAACGAAAGGAAGCAGAAAGTTCACTACATATTCCTCCTCATTTGCAGATATGAAAGACAATTGGAAAGATGGAATGAGCAAGAACATGAACCTGGTGGTGAACCAGGTGAAAGAAGGAGGATAGACGAGTGCCATCAAGGTACTAGCGAGGACTACATGAGGCAGTAGTGAATTTGCTTGTTTTAGGATATCGACTATAGAACCATTCCCTCTATCAGCCATCTGAATCAGAGCATTAACAACAGTTATTACAACCACGCTTTGACAAAATTGAAGCCTTGCTCAAACTTCTAATGGCAAACAAGCATCAAATTCTTATCAAACTAGTGTGCGGACCATCAAATGAAGAATTAGCTCACAAATCTGTGTCAAAGTAACCATAACCTCTAGTAACAGATTGCATTGCAGAAGACTACCAATAGGGAATAGGCATAAGAACTTAGCAATGGCAACAAACAAAAGCAGAACGATTGTGCACCTGACTAGGAAGGCCGACATGGCCGGAATCCGGCTCAATGGAATCCGAGAACTTGTCGGAGACACATCTGGTCACCAAAAATCTCGAACTCCCAACTGCCAGTGTAAACCCAACACAAATCCCCATTAATGATTACTCTTTCAACAAAGTGGGCCAGAATCACACGATTGAACTGTGTGGTCCGCACGAAAGCAACTGAAAGGTACGAGCTTTCACCTTGGAAACGCGAGTCCGGTTGAATTGAAACTCTAGCAGAAGTCAACTCTGCTAAGCAAAAAGAGGGAAAACAAACACCCTCGATTACGAAGAACCAGATGAGGATAGAAGTAGGCAGAGAGACAATTAAAGGAGCGAACTTTACCCGGAAATTTGGGGAGGGAACTCCGCGCGAAAGCACCGAAGAGCTGATTGATACATTTCGGATAGTGGGCAGGGTGTCGCCGGCGAGATGAAGAGTTGTAGATGCCCTGAAGCTGCAAATTCTGCGCGTTTAGGCTGCTCATAGGTGAAAGCAGGAAGTAGGTAAATATGGCCGGAGTAGGATCAGCAGTGAATCGATGGGAAAACCTCACCAGTCAGTCAGTCACTAACGCCGCCGACTTTTGCCAGATTCGGTGGAGATCAAAGAGATTCATAAAGGGTTCCATCAAAAAAAGTTTTAAAAAATGACATTCACATGGGTGGTTGGTGTGACTCAGCCACCGGCGGGTTGTTGCCGGATTGGCAACACGTGGTAAATTTCGCTTTACCATAGTTACATTCATAATCAAAATATTCAAGATGCGGATGGGCCTGGAATTTTGGAGCAGAAGGGGTTCGGCCCATGATGTAAGTTTGTAGGGCCCATATTTAGTAAGCTTCGAGTTCGGGTCCAGGCCCAGAAATGTGCGCAGATTGGAGAAGTAGGGCGAGTCAGATGGGGTTCAGGGTTTCGCTGGGGATTTTAGCGTAATCCTTCCTTGCGGCGGAACCACCATTTGCACAAATTCAAGAGCCAGCACCGGCGAAGAGAAAAAAGAGAGAGGAGAACCAAAGTTTCGCCGCAGCTAGCACTCGATCTGTACGGTTTTATTGTCGGTCTCCGTTTCCAACTACCCTGGAGCAGCTGGTTAAACCAGAACTCGGCGTCGGCAAATTCAGCATCACTAACTGCTACAGTGAGGCTGAGCAAGGATGGCGGAAGTTATGGTCATAAAAGATGTAGAGGCGTTGGCTGCGGAGTGGGGAATCGACACATCGCAATTAGATTACGATTCTATAGAGCTGCCGCGGGGCGAGGATTTCGGCATCATCAGGTATTTTATTCGAAACCCTAATAGCAGTCTATCGAACACTGTTTCCGCCGGTGAGTTGAGAAGAATGGACGTACAGATCATTTTCAGTTTTGAACATGGTGTTTTTTATTTTTCTTTGTTAGTGACGATGAAGATGTCTATCAAGAGGAACAGCTCGATTCGGACACGGGGTTCGGCAACGTTATCGTTGTGGATAATCTTCCCGTTGTTCCGTTGGAGAAATTCGAGAAACTTGAAGGGGTTGTCCGCAAGATTTACAGTCAGATTGGGGTAATTAAGGAGGATGGTCTCTGGATGCCGGTTGATTCTAAGACCAACAAAACCTTAGGCTACTGCTTCATTGAATACAACACTCCCCAGGTGCTACTCTGCTTTTAGTTAGCCTTTTCCCCCATTCAGCTCCTTGGTATTTAAAGATCTTTTTTGTGTGTGTGTGTGTGATTACTGATGGCGCTTTCAACTCACAGGAAGCGGAACTGGCTAAAGAAAAGACCAATGGGTATAGGCTGGATAAGTCTCATTTTTTCGCTGTCAATATGTTCGATGATTTCGACAGATTTATGAGAGTTCCAGATGAATGGGTAGCTCCAGAAATCAAGCCATATGTTCCTGGGGTAACTAGATTCTGTACTCTTTTCATGTCTTGCTTACTTCATCTTCTGAAATTGGATACAAACAAGACTAAGAATGAAAAGTCTTACATGATGCATCTCTATAAGAACCCTGCTTAGTTGAGAACAAGGTGTTGATAGCCACTTCACACTCCTTTTCTATTGTTGGTCAAACATGCTATTAGTGTATTGCCTATCGAATGCATCAATAATGGATGTCTGATTTCAGTTCGGGATGTGTGTATGCAGTTTTCATTTTGAACAGTTTTGTGAATATTTCGTTGGAACTTTCTTTGCCTTGCCTGTTGCAAGTTAGAATAAGGACAAAAATTTGTTATAATGGCTTACAGCATTTGTAATATACTCTAATAGTCTAATTCAAAACGCTTTGTTAGTTGATGAAGGAAGTAATATCAGTAGCTCTTGGGGTATCTATGTTTAGCTGTGCATGGGAAATGTCTCTCTCTCATTTTGCCAGAACTACTGGACAGCTGCAACCATTTCAATTTACCATGCGCAGTTGCACGTGTGGGTTGTTTTGACATATTCTTTTCCATTCCATCGCAGGAAAATCTCCAGCAGTGGCTGACAGATGAAAAGGCAAGGGATCAGTTTGTTATTCGTGCTGGCACAGATACTGAGGTATTCTGGAATGATGCCAGACACTTGAAGCCTGACCCTGTCTACAAGCGGGCGGTGAGTTCTGCATTATCATTTGGATCTGGGGAATATGGCGATCCATTCCAATCCCTTATGATTTGTTCTCAAGTTTCTAATTAGGTCTAATAGTTACTTAAGTGCCAGATATGCAGCAAGTAGGAGAAATCAGTTTTTCCCATTTTGTGGTTGGTAACTAAAAAGCAAATTCAGGACTAGATCTTACTGAATTGTGACACAAAATAGAAGATGAAGTTCCTAACAAATAATTACGGGGGATGTGTTCATTTAGGGTATGGTCCTTTTAGTGATTGATTATAACAACAAATTTGTCTGATCATGATCCCTGTTTGCTGTCGCAGTTCTGGACTGAGGGTTATGTTCAGTGGTCTCCACTTGGAACCTACCTTGCCACAGTTCACAGGCAAGGAGCTGCTGTTTGGGGTGGTGCGGAAACTTTCAATCGACTTATGCGTTATGCACATCCTCAGGTCTTCCAAACCATTCCCTTTTATATTCACATGTTTTCATGACTAGTTTTCTCTTTTTAATTGGGTTTAGTACTTCGGAATTCAGGTTAAACTGATCGACTTCTCCCCGGGTGAGAAATATTTGGTTACCTACAGCAGTCATGAACCAAGCAATCCACGTGATGCAAATGTGAGTTTTTATTAGACACCCTTTTCTTATTATGTGTTGGCTTGCAAATTCTCTTTAATGTATCATACTCAACCAATAATTTATTCTTTATCTTCCAGAGGGTTATAATAAATATCTTTGATGTAAGAACTGGAAAAGTGATGAGAGATTTTAAAGGCAGTGCCGACGAATTTGCAATTGGGGGAGCTGGTGGTGTTACTGGTGTTTCATGGCCTGTTTTCCGGTAATTTCTCTTCTGCAAATTGGCTGTTTTCTGTTACTCTCCGGTTCTTGTGATAATTTTAGAAAACAACCTAATAAATGTCTCTTTTCATTTTTTGCAGCTGGGGTGGTGGAAAGGATGATAAATATTTTGCTAAACTGGGGAAGAACATGATATCTGTGTATGAAACCGAGACTTTCAGCCTCATTGACAAGAAATCCATGAAGATTGAGAATGTGATGGACTTCACATGGTCTCCAGCCGATCCAATCTTTGCACTCTTTGTTCCTGAACTTGGTGGTGGGAACCAACCTGCTAGGGTTAGTCTTGTTCAAATTCCCGGGAAACAGGAATTGAGACAAAAGAACCTTTTCAGTGTCAGCGATTGCAAAATGTACTGGCAGAGCTGTGGTGAGTATCTTGCTGTGAAGGTGGACCGGTACACCAAAACAAAGAAGAGCACATACACAGGGTTTGAGCTTTTTAGAATCAAAGAACGTGATATCCCTATCGAGGTCTTGGAGCTTGAGAACAAGAATGATAAGATCATTGCTTTTGCCTGGGAGCCTAAGGGTCACAGATTTGCAGTTATTCATGGTGATGGTCCTAGGCCTGATGTAAGCTTCTATTCTATGAAGACTGCTCAACACTCTGGTCGCGTCTCCAAACTCACTACTCTCAAGGGAAAACAGGCCAATGCACTCTTTTGGTCTCCTAGCGGGCATTATGTCATCCTGGCAGGAATGAAGGGTTTCAATGGTCAGTTGGAGTTTTATAATGTTGACGAGCTTGAAACCATGGCTACTGCTGAGCATTTCATGGCTACTGATGTCGAATGGGATCCTACCGGAAGGTAATGTTATATAGCAGTTTTGGAAGGCATACATTAGATGGGCCTTCGTTCTGTACTCTGATCCTGATATGTTTTTGATTTGCAGGTATGTTGCTACAGCTGTCACCTCAGTTCATCATGAAATGGAAAATGGATTCAATATATGGTCCTTCAACGGGAAACTCCTCTATAGGACCCTCAAGGATCATTTCTTCCAGGCAAGTCCAGTGACTATTCTTTTGATTGCTTCTGTGGATGTTTGTTATTTCACTTAGTAAAACATCCATGTCTTTGATTTAGCTTTTGCCAAGAATAACTTTCTCAGAGTTGTAGAACAAGTATGTTCTGTTTGATTACAGACAGTTAGGTTCAATGAGAATTAATTGGAATCTAGATACTGGTATTCTGAATCACTTTGTTTTTTCTTTTTTCTTTTTCCACCCAATACAGTATCAATGGCGCCCAAGGCCGCCTTCTTTCTTGAGTGCTGAAAAGGAGGAAGAGGTTGCAAAGAACTTGAAGAAGTACAGCAAGAAGTACGAGGCGGAGGACCAGGATGTGTCGTTGCAGTTGAGCGAACAAGACAGGGAGAAGAGGCGGTTGTTGAAGAGCGAGTGGGAACAATGGGTGAACCGTTGGAAGCAGATGCACGAAGAAGAGAAATTGGAGAGGCAGAAACTGAGGGACGGAGAGGCCAGCGATGAAGAAGAGGAGTACGAGGCCAAGGAAGTCGAAGTGGAGGAAGTTTTGGATGTTTCAGAGGAGGTGGTTTCATTTGAATATGGACAGTAGATGTAGTAAGCATGTGCTTGCATGCATGGGCTATATGCAACATGCATTAAGTTGCTGTTTCTGATTCAGCTTCAGTTTTTTCTTGTGTTTGATCACTACCTCTCTTTAAGGGTATTCGTGAAGACATTGCTGCAATCTCGCACAGTCGCATGTACTTTAGTGATCCCTGCTGAGATCCTGGCTGAAATTTTGTTAGTTTGCTGAAGCGTGAGATCCTTTGATGCAGTTTTTTAACTATCCGCAGTTTTTCGTTGAATGGGGAACTTGGGTTGTCCTGCGTACTCATCTTAGCTGACGGCCGCGATGCAATGTAGATAAGGTATAGCAGTATTACCTAACTGAAAGTTGGCTAAAATACAATGTTTGGGATGTGTTTAACAATGTGAAAATTAATGGCGTGAGATTTTATTAAAATATTAATTTGCCCTTTTTTGTGAGATGGAAGAAGGAAACAAGGGAAAGGAAGAGAAAGAAGAGGGATAAAATTGAGAGAGAAAAAAAACAGAAAATGTCAGAATATATGAGGGGAGTGTGGTAATTACAATTTCATGTCTTTAGAATTTTGCTCAAATCACCGAGGTGAATTCCACGTTTGGTCACTCAGATTACATATTTGTTTCACGTTTGCCATCGGAAATTTTTTTCATTCTTAATCGTCAC